AAATTATATACCAAAGATCCTATAATGTTTGCATGTACTTGTCAGCTTCTATCTTTATATTTTTTCAAGTCCATCTAATGAAAGCCAAAATTAGAAAATTCTCACTCTGCAACATGCATTAGAAGTTTAAACAGAAACAATTTTCAGATTCATATTCATTTTTTCTCCATAAACTATCATACCAACCTAAATTTGCTGACATTATTATCTCGACAATCTCATCCTATAAGATTCCATTGCTTATTTTTTTTCTTTCAATAATACTTGATCTTATCATTATTAAACAAATCATTTCTTTTTGCCTTTCAACTGGAAGAAATTATTGTGTCTGAACTAAAATTTCTGCAATAAGTAGAATGCTGGATACAAATGACATTAGCTCTAGGTATCTTTCAATTGAACTGTAAAGGAAAAAACTTGGTCATTTCAGATCCATAAAGTACTGGCAAAGATTGAAAACCTGGAGTCTGTGCTGAAATTGGAGAAATTGTAGAGGCTTCTGATGATATGGTGGCTCGAGGCGACCTGGAGTTGAAATTCCACTTGAGCAGATTCCAACAGTCCAAGAAGAAATTACCCATGTATGCAGCAGCTAAACAAGCCATGATTGTAGCTTCTCAACTTCTTGAGTCATGGTTGAATATCCAACTCCAACACGTGCTGAGGTAGTTCTTTCACAATTGATGATATGTTAATGTTATTCTGTTGTTTAGGCATTGTGTATTAGGCAGAGAATGTTTTTGTATAATAGTATTTTCTTTGCATGAATAGGTTGCAGATGTTTTCCGAAGCAGTTAGACAATATGCTGATGCCTTGATGTTGTCTGGAGAGTCAGCAATTGGCCATATGGACAGAAGGCTATTTCTGTCTTGCAAATGACTAGCAGCCAATGGAACTGTGGAGTCGTGAGGAAAACCGACAAGTGCTCCTCAGCGTCAATTAGAGTATCACTACCAGATCGCATCCTGAGCAGATCTGCAGTTGCAGTTGAAATGGGTACTACTACTTTTCCTCACTGTTCCATCATCCTTCAGTACTTGATTAAACACATTATCTGCAATCTCACTATCAAGCATATTATTACTATCTTGTCAAAAATAAATAAATAAATAAATTGTCAATGAGTCTATGAGGAAGTGTTTTCAGCCACCATGCATTCATTGTCAATAACTGGGATTATTATAAATATAAAGTGTGATTTTATAGTAAAAGGATATAATACTAATCACTAATGTACATCACTTCTTGGTCCATGGAAACAAGATGAAACCTGGACCAATGAAATAACAATATTCTCACGGATAACACTGGAGAAGGCATGAATTAGCAGTTTGAGTCGCATTTAGTAATTGATGTTCAATTTTGTGATGTAATTACATTGTTTTGCAGAGTTCACATACAAATATAAGCACCATCGTTTCACTTGTCTTAATTAAGATTTTTATTTTTCGTAATATATGTATTGAGTACCCATTTGAGACTCTTAGCACATACTCCCACAAATAATTGGGCTTTTTTTTTTTTTTTCTTTTTTGCAGCTAAAAATCTTGGTGTAGATGCCATCTTTGTGTACACAAAACACGGGCATATGGCATCTCTCTTGTCTTGTAACCGTCCACACCCTCCCATATTTGCTTCCATAATGATGACAGCACCCGGATGGCTCTGAATTTGCAATGGGAGTCATTCCCCTCCTTGTTGACCTATCAGATGACATGGAAGCTAATGTATCAAAAACCATAGATCTCATGAAATCGAAGGGGATGGTAATACAGGGTGATTCTGTTTTGGTGGTGTCAGATTTAATTCCAGCTTATGTTACTTCAACAGCATTCCAATCTATCCAAGTGAAGACCATGTTTATGAGAATTTTATCTCTAAGTATCGTTTAATCAAGCTGTAGAGAGAAGAAGGCAAGTTCTATGAAAAGACAAAGCAAATTTCCAATCTGTGAGAATGTGTAATGTGCATTATGTTTAGATCTATCAATTTACATCTTATGAAAGTAGAATTGTAGAATGTTGGACGTGCCTAAACAGCCAAATGAATCTTGAAAGTTTGAATTTGGTGTATGAGCCCACAACTAAATGACACATGCCACTTTTGTTACCAAAATTAGCCGTATAAATCCAGATTTTGCAGGTGATTTAAGATTTCGCAACCTCACCGTATACGTAAACTCCTTCCTCAAACACACTCTACTTCAATGTAACCTTCATTTTATCGTTTTCTTAAAGCCAAATTAGCTGCCAAACAAGTAAAAAATATTTTAAATTTAAACAATCATCACATATTAAATTTAAGGTAATTTATTTTCTAGGTAATTAATGTTCTAAACCCTTAGAGTCTCTAAATTCAAGGTCATAAAATACTTTACAAGCTTAATGGATTATGGTAATGTATACATAGGTATGTATCTCTCTTGTGACCAAAACAAGCCCTTTGGTACTAGTTAACTCTAGTGGTAGTACTGCTTGAAGTTTTTTTTTTTATGGTTTTGGGGTTTTTAATTAACTGGTTTTGAGGTGTTTAAAACCATATTTGCCAGATTTTTAATGGGTTGGTTTTGACTGATTTTAAAACCCTAAAAACGTGTAGTATATTTTTGAGGGTTTATAAACACCCCAAATCGGGTGTTTGGCTAGTTTAACAATTTTATCCCAAAAAATCCTTTTCCATTAATAATCCTTTCTGACACAAATCTCTTGCTGTTGTTTCTCTCTCTAACGAAGTGAGTGAATGGTTTTAACCAAATATTGGTTTTGTTGTTTTTCATTATTCTTTGTATATTAGTGCAATGGTGGTGATTCAGAGAAAAAAGCTTGTCTTTACATCAGCCCTGATGGGTACGCTATCTATACTTTCCTTCTTTGTAATTTCTTCTTTTTCTGTTCTTACAGATCACCACTTACCTATCAGTTCCTTTTTCGGAATCTGTGTGATCAGAGTCGTAGCTTTATGGATGGTTTTTCGTACAAAATGTGGATGAAAGGCAGCAAAGGGTAAGAAGATTCGTTGTCTTTTAAAAATTATTATTCAAAGTTAGAAATAAATTTGGAGCTTAAAAAACAGCCCTCTAAAAAAATAAACTTGAATGTGAAATAAACAATATTTGATTAAATTAATTAAGTAATTTAACAATAATAATAAAAACAGGAGAGAATCCAAATGGCAATATCAGAAGATCCCAAAATATTCAAATTTTCGAAAAAGCTTCACTTAACCATGCTTACACTTGACTCAAGAGTTCATGTGAATACTTTCTCATAAGAGTAATATTGTTACATTTATACTATTCTTTTATATCATATTCATTATATCATGATGTGACATATGTCATAACCACATAAATTTTTAATTAAATGTAGCATTACTCTTTTCATAATATTTAATTTTTAAATTATTATGAATTAATGTCAAATTTTTCTGTTACAATAACTTATATTAATAATATACCAACATCATAGTAATAACATTCTATTTAAAAGTACCCATCAATACAATTAAACATTTTACTGTATTTCAAACTTAAAAATTAAATTCTTCATAAAATTTATTTTTCGATCAAGGAAAGAGATAAAAGAATTCTTAATAATTTCCTAAACAAAACAAATCAAATGAAGTAAAAATAAAAGAGATGTAATTAATAAAACATGCAAGTGGAATTCTATTTCATTTTTCAAAATTTCATCACCGTCACATGTTCACAACAACCCCTTTACAGCAGTACCAATTAAAACAAAGCAGAAAATGACAACAGAGACAGCTAAAAGAACCAAACACAGCATAGCCGTAGGGACAGCTAAAACAGGGAAATTTATATAGTCCCTGAGGTTTAGAATGAGTACAATTTAAGCTTAAAAGAATTTTTAGTAACGTTTTATTCCTTATCAGTAACATTTTACTATTTTAGTCGCTCGCATCGATGATTCGACGGGGATTAAATTGGCAAATTGCTACTAATAGGGACAAAAAGGTACAAATAATACTATACTTACAAAGATTTTCATACAAAGTGAGTTGACAAAATATAAATGGAAGAGTAAAACAAAAAGTCAAACTCATTAAATTCACTCTTCCATTCATTTTTTGTCACATCACTTTATATAGAAATCTTTATAAAATTTCTTTGTAAATGTAGTATTACTCAAGCTTGTTATTATCCTAAATAAGCTAAACCCAGTACTGGGACGACTACCATTGCCATCAATACCGCCCTTTCTTACCTAAACTTTTCTTCGAATTATTTAATGCTCTAAACCTTAGGACCTTCTCCAAGCATTAAACACCACATTGGTGTATCCTTCAAACCAAATTTTTGCACAATTTTATTATTACATCTCTGATCTATTACACCAAATATTATATTGAAAAGAATACTTCTTAGAATATTCTTCGTTTTTTTATTTCTATTAATTTTTAATAATTAATTTATTTCACTAATTATTTATATATATTAATTAAATATTAAGAATAATATATTTTAGGGTTATATTTTCTTTTAATTTGAGTGTTAATTTATTTTGAGTTATTGAAGTGTAATATTTGCATTGTAAATGAAGTTTTGTTTTCAAATTTTCATCATTTTTTGAATTATAAAATTACTATAAATATTAATATAATTAATAATTAAATAAAAAATAAGGATATAAATGTAATAAAATTTAATTTAATGGCTAAAATGTAAGGTTTATTTTGAAAAAGAAAAAAAAATTATATTGAAAAATGAAAAAATTATTTGGTATTTTGGTGTGGATGAATAGTGTCACATCACACCAAATTTAGTGTGACACTATTCATCAATAACAATTTAGTATTACTTTTAGAATTAAGTTGGAGTAATATTTAAACAACACCATTTTTATTTTTTACACTAATTTAGTGTCCCATTAAAGATGCCCTAGCCCATTGTTAGAAAACTTGCTACAACAAGCCACCCTCTTCTAGTTTCTATTTGTTTATTTTTTTATTTTTATTTTTAATTAAAAGTCACCCACCACCTGTGCTGGTAGTGGTACAACAGCCCTGGTGAGTCTAGTCTTTGCTTAAAACAAAGTTCCAGGATCCTTGACGGAGTTTGCCACGAAAAATTCATCGTTATTATCATCTGCCTTACACTTTTTGATTATTTCTACTCTCAAAATTTGATCTTTCATGATATATTTGCTAAAAAAGACCCACCTTCCTTAGACTCTTTAATGGCTGTTGCAAGTGATTCAATTCTTTCACGTACTCTACTCAAAATTACTCCCAGTTTCAGTTTCAAGACTCAGATTTCTGCCACCCCAGTTTATCTTGCAAGAGGGTTTTCTTGCAATGGGAGAAATCTCAAGTTCAAGTGTGAGATCAAGGCTGAAGTTCAAGCAGGGGTAGTGTTACAAGAGAAGAGTTTGCAGGGTTTGAGTTTGGGGTTTGATGTGGTGTCAGAGGGGGAACTGAGAGAGAAGGGGTTCATGGGGATGAGGAAGACGAAGATGGTGTGTACAATTGGGCCTGCATGCTGTTCAGAGGAAGCTTTGGAGAAGTTGGCCTTCGGAGGCATGAATGTGGCTCGGCTTAACATGTGTCACAACTCTAGGGAGTGGCATCGTGATGTGATTAGGAAGATCAAGAGGTTGAATGATGAAAAGGGGTTTTGTGTTGCTGTGATGATTGATACTGAAGGTAGTCAGATTCATGTGGTTGACCATGGTGCTCCTTTCTCTGTCAAAGCTGAGGTATTTAACAAGAATCCCACTTCTAGGTTTGGATTAATTTAGATGGGGCAGGGGCATCAGAATGGTTCAATTGGGTATCAGTCTTTCTTTTTATGTTGGTTTACATTTGTTATTTTGATGAAGATATAGTAATTTTGACGGTTCTTATTTGGGCAACAGGTGGATTCAATATGGTTATTTACTGCTCAAAAGTTTGAGGGATCTCTTCCTTTTACAGTGCAAGCAAAGTATGAAGGCTTCTCTGAAGGTAATTAAAGCATTACTAATTGTGTCAAGAATCAATTTGTTTAAATGAAAATGGGAAATCTTTTGTAACTTTATGGTCCATCTAAATTAAATTTCATGTTTGGCAGGCATTGAAGTGGGTGATGAGCTTGTTATTGATGGAGGAATGGCAAGCTTTGAGGTGATTGAAAAACTTGGGAATGATTTGCGTTGTAAGTGCACAGATCCTGGTCTTTTCCTACCTCGAGCAAAATTTAGCTTCTGGAGAGATGGGAAGCTGGTGGAGAGAAATTATGGGCTCCCTACTCTGTCAAAAAAGGTGGATTTCATATGCCTCTTTATTTGAATTTTTGTATATAGACTCTAGTCAAATGTTATTTGCATCGGCATTCTTACTCTACAGTACCATCTAAGTGATGTTATATTGAAAATATCCAGCTGGTGTATTTTTGTTAGGCCTGCTGAACCATATTAACTAATACAGTTCCTACCTTATATTAAAGTATCTCATATAATGTTCTCTTGAATTAATTGGAATTCTAAGTTCTGAAAAAATGTGGACAAATTTTAATCTTTTTTTATTAAATACTCAAAAGACTGATTTTCCGTTAGAAAACTGATCTGTGCTGCTATGATGATTAGTAACTATAGATGATATTACTGCTGCATTGCAGGTGATGATAACATAATATAATACTTCTTATGATACTGTGATACCAACAATTAAAAGGTTTCCTTTCATGTCGCAGGATTGGGCAGACATCGAGTTTGGAATTTCCGAAGGAGTTGATTTTGTGGCCATGTCATTTGTAAGTGATGCTGATTCTATCAGGCATTTGAAGAATTATCTCTCTTCGAAATCGACAAAGTAAGCAAGTATACATCCTTACTAGTATAGGAAATTTAAGACCTGCTTCTTGAATTATTCCCATAATACTCTAATTTGGTAGAAAAAAATTATCTATACCAAAATGATCCTATAATGTTTGCATGTACTTGTCAGCTTCTATCTTTATATTTTTTCAAGTCCATCTGAATGAAGCCAAAATTAGAAAATTCTCACTCTGCAACATGCATTAGAAGTTTAGAACAGAAACAATTTTCAGATTCATATTCATTTTTTTCCATAAACTATCATACCAATCCTAATATTTGCTGACATTATTATCTCGACAATCTCATCCTATAAGAATTCCATTGTCTTATTTTTTTCTTTTCAATAATACTTGATCTTATCATTATTATAACAAAATCATTTCTTTTTGCCTTTCAACTGGAAGAAATTATTGTGTCCTGAACTAAAATTTCTGCAATAAGTAGAATGCTGGATACAAATGACATTAGCTCTAGGTATCTTTCGGAATTTGAACTGTAAAGGAAAAAACTTGGTCATTTCAGATCCATAAAAGTACTGGCAAAGATTGAAAACCTGGAGTCTGTGCTGAAATTGGAAGAAATTGTAGAGGCTTCTGATGGAATAATGGTGGCTCGAGGCGACCTTGGAGTTGAAATTCCACTTGAGCAGATTCCAACAGTCCAAGAAGAAATTACCCATGTATGCAGGCAGCTAAACAAGCCAGTGATTGTAGCTTCTCAACTTCTTGAGTCAATGGTTGAATATCCAACTCCAACACGTGCTGAGGTAGTTCTTTCACAATTGATGATATGTTAATGTTATTCTGTTGTTTAGGCATTGTGTATTAGGCAGAGAATGTTTTTGTATAATAGTATTTTCTTTGCATGAATAGGTTGCAGATGTTTCCGAAGCAGTTAGACAATATGCTGATGCCTTGATGTTGTCTGGAGAGTCAGCAATTGGACCATATGGACAGAAGGCTATTTCTGTCTTGCAAATGACTAGCAGCCGAATGGAACTGTGGAGTCGTGAGGAAAACCGACAAAGTGCTCTCAACCAGCGTCAATTAGGAGTATCACTACCAGATCGCATCACTGAGCAGATCTGCAGTTGTGCAGTTGAAATGGGTACTACTACTTTTCCTCACTGTTCCATCATCCTTCAGTACTTTGATTAAACACATTATCTGCAATCTCACTATCAAGCATATTAGTACTATCTTGTCAAAAAATAAATAAATAAATAAATTGTCAATGAGTCTATGAGGAAGTGTTTTCAGCGCACCATGCATTCATTGTCAATAACTGGGATTATTATAAATATAAAGTGTGATTTATATGGTAAAAAGGATATAATACTAGATCACTAATGTACATCACTTCTTGGTCCAATGGAAACAAGATGAAACCTGGACCAATGAAATAACAATATTCTCACGAGATAACACTGGATGAAGGCATGAAATTAGCAGTTTGAGTCGCATTTAGTAATTGATGTTCAATTTTGTGATGTAATTACATTGTTTATGCAGATGTTCACATACAAATATAAGCACCATCTGTTTCACTTGTCTTAATTAAGATTTTTATTTTTCGTAATATATGTAATTGAGTACCCATTTTGAGACTCTTAGCACATACTCCCTCACAAATAATTTGGGCTTTTTTTTTTTTTTTTTTCTTTTTCTGCAGCTAAAAATCTTGGTGTAGATGCCATCTTTGTGTACACAAAACACGGGCATATGGCATCTCTCTTGTCTTGTAACCGTCCACACCCTCCCATATTTGCTTTCACTAATGATGACAGCACCCGGATGGCTCTGAATTTGCAATGGGGAGTCATTCCCCTCCTTGTTGACCTATCAGATGACATGGAAGCTAATGTATCAAAAACCATAGATCTCATGAAATCGAAGGGGATGGTAATACAGGGTGATTCTGTTTTGGTGGTGTCAGATTTAATTCCAGCTTATGTTACTTCAACAGCATTCCAATCTATCCAAGTGAAGACCATTGTTTAATGAGATATTTTATCTTCTAAGTATCGTTTTAATCAAGCTGTAGAGAGAAGAAGGCAAGTTCTATGAAAAGACAAAGCAAATTTCCAATCTGTGAGAATGTGTAATGTGCATTATGTTTAGATGCTATCAATTTACATCTTATGAAAGTAGAATTGTAGAATGTTGGACGTGCCTAAACAGCCAAAATGAATCTTGAAAGTTTGAATTTGGTGTATGAGCCCACAACTAAATGACACACATGTCACTTTTGTTACCAAAATTTTAGCCGTATAAATCCAGATTTTGCAGGTGATTTAAGATTTCGCAACCTCACCGTATACGTAAACTCCTTCCTCAAACACACTCTACTTCAATTCGTAACCTTCATTTTATCGTTTTCTTAAAGCCTAAATTAGCTGCCAAACAAGTAAAAAATATTTTAAATTTAAACAATCATCACATATTTTAAATTTAAGGTAATTTATTTTCTAAGGTAATTAATTGTGTCTAAACCCATATTAGAGTCTATCTAAATTTCAAGGTCATAAAATACTTTACAAGCTTAATGGATTATGGTAATTGTATACATAAGGTATGTATCTCTCTTGTGACTCAAAGACAAGACCCTTTGGATACAGTTAACTCTAGTGGCTAAGGGTCTGCTTAGGAGTTTTTTTTTTTTACTGGTTTTGGGGGGTTTTTAATTAAACTGGTTTTGAAGTGTTTAAAAACCATTATTTGTCAGATTTTTAATGGGCTGGTTTTGACTGATTTTAAAACCCTAAAAAACTAGTGTAGTATATTTTTGAGGGATTTATAAAACACCCCAAATCAGGGTGTTTTGGCTAGTTTAACAATTTTATCCCAAAAAATCCCTTTCCATTAATAATCCTTTTGCTGCACACAAATCTCTTGCTGCTGTTGCTTTCTCTCTCTAACGAAGTGAGTGAATGGTTTTAACAACAATATTGGTTTTGTTGTTTTTCATTATTCTTTGTATATTAGTGCAATGGTGGTGATTCAGAGGAAAAAAGCTTGTCTGTTTACATCAGCCCTGATGGGTACGCTATCTGGGTACGCTATCTATACTTTCCTTCTTTGTAATTTCTTCTTTTTCTGTTCTTAACAGATCACCACTTACCTATCAGTTCCTTTTTCGGAATTTCTGTGTGATCAGAGTCATAGCTTTATGGATGTGTTTTCGTACAAAATGTGGATGGAAAGGCAGCACGAGGGTAAGAGATTCTTTTTCTCAGTTTGCTGAACTGGTTGTGGTTATATGTTTGTGAATTTTTTTTATTTTTACTCCTAGATTGATGTCACATCTATGATTGCAGGCCTTTGGAGAATCACGTTCAAGTTTGAAACAAATTGCCCAAACGAAGACCATAAGAGAAGTCACAGTGGAAGGTCTGAAACTAGAGCCACTGTCTGACCAGGTTGCTGGATTTCACCTTTTTTGTGCTCTTTGTTCTGTTTTTGCAATCACTTTTTGGGTATGAGTTTAATTAAAATTGTTCAAGCATTCTGTTTTTGGCTGTTTTAATTTTATGGGCATATATATAAATTTATTATTTAAAAAAACTGTTAAAATCGTTGGAAAATAAACTCTCAAACACAGGTTGGATGTTTTAAAAACCGCTACTAAAAATCCCTCAAAATCGCTACGATGATTTACCCTCAAAACCGATAGTTTACCTTATAACCGCTACCATAAAATTCCCAAACAAACCCTAAAAGGTTCGCCCAGAGAGAAAATTTAAGGTAATTTTATAAGTGGGTATTGTCGATTAAATTGAATTGAATATTTCTGTCTGGTCAACTGCCAAAGAGAAAATGAAATGGGCACCGTGAATCACGAGGCGGAAAAGTCCACCCAGTAGCTGTATTGTATTAATAGAGTTGAAACACTCTACATGTTATTAATATTATACTCCGAATACTATACATTTTTAATTCTCGGGTCATGTTAACATACCATAATATATTTTTCACAAAATATAGAATATTATATATTTAATTTCAGCATCTATATAATATGTATCATACATTTATAATATTGATTAATCTAACTTTATTTTAATTATTTTACAGATTAATGTATTCATGCATTCGTCCTAATATTAAATATAACCTTTTCATTTTTTTTTTCTTTCTGTTTTTTAGTCTGACCATAACATTTCAATCAAATTATCAATTTTTTTTATTATCTACAAAATTTAATTATATTTCAAGGACACGTGACGGTCCAAACCTAAGCGAGTTAACATTTGTTCCTTCAGTTAGGTCCAGTAGAATCTGATAGTAACACTTAGATCCTTATAAGATAGCAGCTTTAAATTTTTTTTCTTGTCTAAAATATCCCTATTATTATTATTATTATATATATATATATATAGTAAACCCGATAATTGTCTCTCCCACGACTCGAAGACAAGACCCCATGAATAATTCCAATGGTTAAAAGGTTTGTCATCCGACTGTAAGGAGAGAAAATATCTCTATTATTTTCTTATGCAAATGAAATTCAAAATTAATAAAATTATAAAAAAATTAACAGCTACTAACTGTGAATTTTGTTATAAATTTAGGACAGTTCCATTAGTTAAAAGAAAATAAAAATTAACAGGCTGAGGGTATTTTAGATAGTTAAAAAAAAAAATCAAAAACCAGAAACCTGAAACCTGACAAGAACTAAATATCAGTATCTAGTGGACTTTTTGTTATTTGGGCCATACCTCAGGGACGAATATGATTTAACTCAAACTTAAACAGTTAAACTCACTCAACGAGTGACGCCACCATTCTTCTGATTCTGTCCAACCGCAAACTTCAAGCCACAAACCTCCCACGTCATCTTCGGCGCACTTTACTCATTTCTACTATCCAAAACTAACGTACGCCGACCTGTGACACTAGGAAACAATCACCCACCTCTCGCCACCTCTAGAACAAAAATATAAAAGCTTCACTATCACAGCTGAATTATTCCTTTCTGTTTTCCTAAAATAAAAATTTTTAATTTTCTGAGTATGAAAATCTGCTCTAATTGATGCGAGAAAGCAACGAAAACAACTAAGAAATGGCCGCCGCTTCTCTGCAGATTGTGAAATCCACTTTGCTAACTCCCGTTTCGGTTCCTCACTCTAATTTCCCCGGAAAATCGGATTCTTTCGGGAAAGTGGCGCTCCGTTTTAGAAGTTATAAACGGTCGAATAGCTCCGCCGGCAGGAATTTTAGGGTTTGTTGTGCTGTTCAAGACCGCGATAATAATCAAACCAACGGCAAGTCGTTTCTTATTCATTTTATTTGAGTTTTTAATTTTTCGTAATTGATGTTTATATTTTTCATTTATAATTATAATTTGTTTCTGTTAAGGCAGAATTGTTATAATATTTAAAACAAGATTGAAACTTCGTAGTTTGTTTCCCATTTTTTTTTTTTTTTTTTTTTTTTTGTTATTATTAAAAGCATATAAATTGTTGCAGTTGATATTAAGTGTTTGTAAGTATAAGCATATGCAGGATCGGATTGTGGATTTTGGAAGTATTTAAATAATATTTGGTCTTTTTGACGTGAAAAAAAATAAGAAATTTGGTTTTGTAGCTAGTGGAATATTGGATTTAGCATTTATTAAGTTATCAATTTTTTAAAATACTTGGTGCTTAGTTAGTGATTTGTAAATAGAGTCAGAGTAGAACAAATTGATTTAGGAGGCAAACACCATGTGGCAATGCATGAGAAATCATAAAGGGGAATTTAGTACTTATTTTTTGAATTAGGTGGTATATGATTGATTGGCCCAGTCGTTTGATTTTTATAGCTCACGTTATTTTAGACACATCTAATGTGCAAGTCTCGGAGCACCTTTTGTATGCTTGTGTTGGTTTATATTGATTATAGGATGACCTTTTTGAGCTGTTGAGGCTTAGAATTTTATGTTTTCTGCCTATGCTATAGTAGTATTCTCTGAAATTTTATCAGTTGTCCATATGCAACTATTTTTTTTGCCTCATAGAATATGTTTTCCAGGTGAAGAGCCTCCAGAGTCATTATTTATGAAGGAACTAAAGAGAAGGGGCATGACTCCAACTTCATTGCTTGAGGACACAAAGAGGACAGATTATGGATTGGATGGTGAGACGAAATTGAGGGAAGAAGAAAGAAGTTTCTCAAAAAGAAATGCAGTCTCAGCTAAATTAGATAAAAGTCTATCTAATCAAAGGGAGCGCTCCATGGCATTGAATAGTGAAGGCCTTGAGGTTGACATTCTTTTTCCTTATTTATTGATTTATGTAGAAATTTTTAAATTTATGCTTCCTGGTAAACTGCCTTAGAACTAAGTCATTATTTCCTTGTATATATTTCAAACACATGAAACTCCAAAAGATTCAGCCATGTCTGTTTGCGTTAAAAAAATCCATTTTTTATTTTACTACTTTGGTGAAATGATTGTTGATTTTTTGTTCTTTATTTCTTTTTCTCCTCTAATGATTGCTAATTTAGAATTTCACACTGAAAATTTCTTCCTAAACAGAATTCCAGAAGGATAACATGGAAATTTATTTTAAAATGAATAATGTTTTATTTCAGAGAAATATTTGTTCTAGAAACTCATATTTTTCATTTTTCTGCTAATTATTTGTAGACACTACAATGATGTGCAGCATGAAATGTTTGAAACCCTTTTGATTTCTAGGGTCAAGCTGCCCAACTCATTTTTATCTCTAGTCACATTATAGGAAACGGTTGAAGAAAATTTGATCCTATGAAAAGTCAAATATTTGCTTAGAGGATTGAGAAACAGGGGAGGTTAATGACTATCTATAACATTTTTACCTGATTGGCCTTTGAACATTGGTCTCCCTGTTATATATAATATAGTCTATAAAGGACATTATTTAGACGATGGTTTGTCTCCTTGCATACTCTAACTATGACATTTGAGCCTCTAATAAAGAAAAACATGAAACTTTAGGCAACTTGTCACTAAGAATTACTTTTCTGTTTATAATCCTTATGGACTTTTTTCCCTACTGAATTGTAAAGGTACTCTAATTGGTTTGTTTCATATGTTTCCATTGCATAAGTTGGGTCTCGAGCAGTATTGCTATTGGAATTTTGTGTTTGAATTCATCTAAACTAGTTGCATGATACCTTTTGGAGCACAAGAAACATACGTGTTTCCCTGGAAGTTCATTTACAAATTTCACTTGTCTAGATTTAGTAACACATTATTGTAAAGAGAAAAGGAACAAATTTTCATCTCCTGTTAAAGTAAGGTAAATTACATGGCAAGGCTTCTGTAAAGTTTCCTGCAATTTGTTTTTTGCGGAGCTGTTGTTTGTGCTGGCCATTGTTTGTTAGTTTAATACTTATATTTTATGTTCATATAAATCTGTATTCATTTCAATCTCATTAAATTTCAATGGTCCTTGTTCAAGAAGCCTATTGCTTGTGATCAAAATGGTGATGTTTTTTTCCGTATAAAATTAGTACCAAAGTTTGTCTTTACCTTATTTCTTATAAAAATAAAAAAATAGTTATAGTGGAAATTTAACCCTGTTAGTTTTGTTGGCTTCTGTATGCATGATATGGGTGCATTTAAGAGAAAATGGACTTACATTACTATATTTTTCAGGGGTTGATTCCACGAGCTAAACTCCTTCTAACACTTGGGGGAACATTTTTCTTGGGATTTTGGCCATTGATCCTTATAACTGTGGCATCTTTTTCTGCCCTCTATTTGGTAAGCTCTCTTTCTTGTTCTAACACAATAGATCTATTTTATATTAACATGCGGTTGCTTATTATATTATGGATCAATTTTTTATGATCAATGCCAAATTTTTCTAGGTGTTGCCTAATTTTAATAATTATAGTCATACATGTTATTTGGCTATTTGAAACCTACAGCTACCTGGTGAGTGGAAGAATAATCAGGGTTTATTTGAAATTTGAAAGGTTGAATTTCATTTAGGATGTGGTTTTTGTTATCATGTAGTGTAATTTGGATTTTGTTTTGTTTAAAATACGTGTGAGCAATTTGTCGAAGGCATTTCACATTTTATGTTGGCAAGATGCTTGAGAGAAGTTTCTGAAGTGAACCCATTTGCAGTTGTCTGAACAAGAATAAAACGAGTTTGAAAACCAAGTGAAATCTCAGGCCAAAATTGATTATTAGTCATATTATCATAATCGTTGTCACGGGGAATATCCTTTGACAATGTTAAGATTTTTAATATGAATTGTATGCATGACAACATCTTTAAGAAGTTTTTGGAGTGAATAAACATGATTTGGTTATTTTGTGTTGAAAAGATAGATATTGACTGATTCACTCTTTCGTTTTGGCAGTATTTTGGGCCAACCTTTGTTCATGATGGAAGTCAGACCCCTATTTCACCACCACAGTATGTTGATCCGTATGCGCTATTGGAAGATGAAAGGATATCACAAATCGCTCCTCGTGTAAATTGAAGGACCAAATGGGTTTTACCTACACTACATTCTTAAACTTTAATTATAGATATCTGTAGCATAATTTATTCGCTTTTGCTAATTCTTTCTGTGTAAATCTAAAAGTAAATAAGAACTTTTCTCAATTCTCGTCAAAGGTAAAGTTTGCATGCTTGGCTCCATTTCCCATGCTTGAAACATGTTATTATCCTTCTGGTAAATTTTTTTTTTTTTTTTTTTTCTATCACGGGGGGTGTCGGGTCTTGGAATTGTCGATCAAGTAAGAGTCCCAGTGGTTAGTTTAATTAGTGCTTGGAGGGACTTGAATTTAGGAATTCATGGAACCTCTTTTTACTCTTTTACCATTAAGTCATCCAATGATTATTTTGTTTTCTTTATGGTAAATTGGTAATTAGCCATTAGAGTTAGATTTAATTTTACTTTTATGTTTCCTTCGCGAAGTTAAACATAACTTAGAGGGTGCGTTTGGTTTAGGGAATATATGATTACTGGGAATATTGAATTATTGGAATGTTAGATTACCTTGAAGATTACTTGAAATTTTTAAGAAAATGTGTTTGGTTAATTGGAATAAATTAGTGAGTATGTTATTTAAATTGTCATCTTTTTAAATATTAATATAATATTAATTTTATTATTAATTTATGAATAATTTTTTTTAACCCCCAACATTTAAGATTTAGCTAAAACGTTTCCGCTTATATAAAACTTTAATTTATAACAAAATCACTCTCATCACCCGAAGTCATTGCCTGCCATCACTCGCCACTGTGGGAAGTCACTTGGAGTCGTCATGAGTAGCCTATCATAACTAGGAGGCTTCGATATGGCCCTTTTTTGCTATATTGATGGCTGAAAAGGCCATATTGGAGCAGATCTGATTATTAACGATCAGATTTCATTTAGATATGGTTGAAAAAGGCCATAGATCTCGTCGTTAACGGTCAGATCTGCTCCGATATGGCCTTTTCGACCAGAAATGGCTATATCGAAGCCTCTCAATGACGATGGGCTAGTCATAGCAAATCCAAGTGACTTCCGACAACTTCCCGCGACGGTTGGGTAATTTTATTTAAAAAGTTAATTAATTTGGATAAAATAGTAAAAGCTAATTTATGTAAATTAATTTTAAAATAAGGGTATTATTGTCCTAAAATTTTATTAATAAGGGATAAAATTGTAACAAAAATAAGATTACCTTGGTAATTTTACAATACCTGAGAAAATGAAGGTTATCAGATTATCTCCAATATTACTAACAGTAAGCACTATTGGTATTGGAAGATTATCGGAATCTTATATTACTTGACAACCAAACGTGGTAATCAAGTAATATATGATGACTTAACCTCAATAATCTCATATACCCCTAGCCAAACGCCCCCCAAAGTATTGAGACTCATAGTTTAACTAGACATGGGGTCCGCGCGTTACGTGGTTATGCTTATTCAATGTTTTTAAAATAGATTGTAAACAAATTTATTCTAATAAAATAAACTAATTAGATCAAGACATAATAATTGTTAAATTATACAAATTTTAAAGTAAATATAAATTGTATATATATGCAAAGTTGTGTTAAAATAAAATTAATAATTGTATCTATATAATTATTAATACCAATTATAGGAATATGTCATTAAATCATTCATCTAACTTGAGAAGATCACCTGAATATTATATGGTCTAATTATATTTTCAGGATCATCACCTTGTACAATTGATATTATTTTTGCAGACATATCTTTGATATTCGATGTTAGTATTTTGTAGTGAATCGTGTATGATATTTAATATCATCTGAATATTATCAAAATCAACTATTTAAACTTAAAATTTATATTGACCTTCCGCAATTTCTATAATTTATATTCATTTTCAAGTTGCATTGCATGGATATATTTATTATATTTTTTTTTTTTACATTATTATTGGTTTTTTTTTGTTTTAAATATATATTTTCTATATTGAAGTTCATTTTATATTGATCTGATAATTAAAAAATCAATAAATAAAATATTCACAAATTGAACTCAAAGTCTATATGACACGACCCGTCCCGAATTTTCTCATCCCGTAAGATCTGGGCACTCCCACAAGACTCAGATACTCGAGGCGTGTCATGTAGAAAAACCGTGAAACCTGTTAAAATACCTACTTTTTCTGAATAACATCATAGTATTTCCATTTCCAACATCCCAAAAACATACATCATCTTTCGTTTTACAAAAGAAAAGAGTTAGGGAAACTTGTGGTATCAGGTTTTCCACTATAATTATGGATTCCAGATTTCATTATCACCCAAAAATAATAATTTAATCCTTAGAAAAATAAAGGTAATACACATATACCCATTTAACAATTTAACAGCCAGATTTACCTTAATTCCCAGCATATTAAAACACCATTTAATCAATTATCCTAAAGGCATTCCAGCCGAAGTGCATGCAAGTGGATTTTACCCAGCCAACATCACATTTTAGTCAATCAACCGAGTGCAAACAGATGCAGCTAGCAAGCAAAATACACTCCATTTTAAACCTCAATTTAAACAACCAAACATACATCTCATCAATTGGATTTTTATTGAGCAAGTTATGGTCAATTTACTACTGACTATTTAGTGGAAACCAAAATGTGTGTGATGATAAAAGGAATGGTTCGACAGTGGAGCTACAGTTATCCAAATTAAGCATATTATATATAAAATTAAAGCTCTATCTGTCTAGTTTCTAAATATTAAAACCTCTCATCAATTGGAGTTTTATTAAATAAGTTATGGTCAATTTACTATTGATTATTCAGTGGAAACCTAAATGTGTGTGATAATAAAATGAAAGTTTACTAAAGCTACATGGTTCAGCATCAAACATCAATTGATATTTGTTAAATAAATGAAATTAGTTATTTAGGCAACAACCTCTTTTCATGATATATGTATGTAACATAAAAAGATATCAACAAAAAGAGATAGAACAATTACAATTAAAACTACATATCAATATTTATTTTCCTTTAAGGATAATAATAATGGTTTGGCATATTACAAATGGTTTACTAAAGATGCATGGTTCGGCAACAAACATCAATTGATATTTGTGATACAAATAAAATTTGTTATATTCAGCAACAACTTGTTTTTGATATATGTATATGTGATGACATGGCTTGCAATTGACACGTTGGAGTCAAAATGAGTCAAAGCAAGTAGTGTAATATAATTGCCTATGCGATGTCGTTTTGGTTGTTAAGCTTAAGTGCCCTATCGTGGCGCTTGATCCTCATTTCAATGTAACAAACTTCCCCTTCACATCTCATTTCTCTCTGGTCCTGTTTCAGCCCTAGGTCTCAATTATGGCAAAAGATTCTAGTGCATTATTCATCCAATGGTTTTCAGATCTTGTTGTACAACTAGTGATTGATCAACGGAGTCTATATGTGTATAAAATCAGACCGATATGTGTGAGAAGGCAGATGAGTGTGAGGTTTAATTGGGTGTGTTCTTTCCTGTAGTTGCTTGTTTAATATTCTCTGTAATATTGTTCTTATGATTAATGAAATACCCTAATGTGTGCCTTAAAGAGTGGATGTAGGCTGCTTAGCCGAACCACTATACATCCCTTTGTGTCAATTTCTATTTAGCTCTTTCCTGTTTTAATTCATCTCTAAATTGATTGCATATTAGATTGTATAAGTTGATTGTTGAGTTTGCTCATTCATTGCTTTGATTGAAATCAGCTTAGTTAATAACCCTATTTGTTACTACAAATTGGTATCAAAGCTTGGTTCAAGACCTAAATAGAGTTATTTGTGATTTCTTTGTTTCTGTCGTTACAAATTTCATACCAAAAACATGTCCACTAAATTTGAACTCGAAAAGTTTACAGAGGACAATGATTTTGGACTCTGGAAGATGAAAATGGAAGTTGTGCTAATTAAAGAAGGAATAGCCTTAGCATTGAAAGGGGAATCTGGATTGCCTGACACCATGGCTGAAATTGAGAAGCAGGATGTTCTCAACAGAGCGAAAAGCTCCTTGATCTTAGGACTAGGTGACAAAGTCCTTCGAGAAGTGAAGAAGGAGAAAACTGTTGCTGAGATCTGGAACAAGTTAGACACTCTGTCAATCTAAAGCTGTCCCTAATAGACTATTTTTGAAACAAAGATTGTTTAGGTTTAAAATGGATGAGCAGAAAACTTTAAAAGACAATAAGGATGAATTTTTGAAAATTATACATGATTTAGAAAGCATATCAATAGAGATTGATGATGAAGACCAGGCTGTAATTCTTCTAAATTCCCTACCAAAACCCTACTCTAATTTTATAGAAACCTTAAAATATGGTAGGCAGACCCTAAAATTAGAAGAAGTTGTAGAAGCCATTACAGTTAAGGATAGTGAGAATAAAATGAAATTAGGTAGTGATGGGGAAGGTCTCATGGTAAGGGGTAGATCAGAGAAGAGGAATTGGAAAAAAAGGGGACACAATAGGAATAGATCCAAGTCCAAAACTGAGAAATGGAAATGCTTCTTCTGTCATAAGGAAGGTCATCTTAGGAGAGCTTGTCCTAAGAGAAATGGTAAGAAAAGGTATGAAAAAGAGGAAGAGTGAGGCAGTGCTGGTGTTGTGTCTGAGGGTTATGAAAGTTCAGAGGTGTTAGTCATCTCTGAAGGTAGAAATAGTGAGGAATGGATCTTAGATACAGGATGTACCTATCACATGACACCTAATAGGGAGTGGTTTAGTTCTTTTCAAACTCTAGATGGTGGAAAAGTTGTGATAGGAAATAATGCAGTATGTTCCATTAAGGGTATAGGTACCGTTAAACTAAGCCTTCACAATGGCCTAACCAAAACCCTCACAGATGTGAGATATATTCCTAACCTCAAAAGGAATCTAATATCACTAGGCACTCTAGACTCAATAAGACTGAGTACAAGGCCTCAAATGGAAGCCTTAGTGTGATGAAATGATCACTAGTAGTGATGAAAGGTGAAAAGAGAAATGGCCTCTATGTGTTAAAGGGTAGGAAATATTATGGCATAGCTGCTGTAGGGTCTCTAGTAACACAAGATAAAACCTTATTGCGGCATCAAAGGTTGGCACATGTCAGTGAAAGAGGGTTAGATGAGTTGAGTAAGCAGAATTTGTTAGGAGGGGACAAGATTGG